ACACTTTTTTTCACTTTGACATTATCAGTTAAGAAGGAAATTTTAATAAAACAGAGATTTTGTTGTTGTTATTTTTCGCTTTGTTTTTTTTACACTTATGACAGTTTTTAAAGTTTTTAAAGCAAAGTTACGATGAACGTCCATATCAATCATATTTCGGTAAATTAGGTTTTTTTTCTGTAAAACGGAAGGGTAAACAAAACGCGAATAGGGGAGAGGAGGGGAAAGAATAGAAGAAAGAAGTGAAGAAGATGGAAGGAAATAAAGAAAGTTTAAAAACCCAAAAACAAAGCGCGTAAAAAACAACTAAAAAAAGTTTTTCTAGAATCTCTTTTACTATTGGCATATTATAAAAAAATTTTTTTTCCCGATTTTTTTTTTTTTTTTGTCTTAATCACCGTTTTCAATGCTCAAAAAAGAAACAGCTAGAAACTACCAAACTGATAAAAAGTTACAGCTTCTTTGTTTCACGGCAACAGCTGCAAAAAGAAGGTGAAATCAGAAAATACTGTTTTATAAGTACAGACATTTGCACTGCGATAAAACGGAACAATTTCTTTCATAGGAAACAGTTTTAAGCGCTTTAACTTCAAAAAAATACATACATCTATAATGGGGGTAAACATACGTTTACTCTTTCCAAGGCACTGTTAAACCCTGAAAGCGCAAAGTAATTTGTCTACAACAGGGTATGTTTAAGCTTTAAATCCAATTGAATACATCTAGAGGACGGTAGTTTGAAACCCTCAACAGAAGATGAATGTTACCTTAATTGCCATCGTACCGCAACAGGACCACCAGCAGCGATATCAATAGCATGAAAAAACGTCAAAAAATAAAAAAAAGTAGATCAGAATAAAAATTACGATAATTTAATAATTTACGATTGAAAGTTACATAATATTAAAAAAAAACAGCCAATTCTTGTTATCAAAGAAATTACTTCATAAACGTTTACTGGTAAGTAAAGTGGCAAGCAAAAACAAAATGTTTCATGTACACTGCGGTCGTAACTACATTCGATACTGTGAACTACACAAATATACATCGCTAAGATCAAATGAAAAAAAAAAAAAGGAATCGCTTTTTTAAACCCTCTCATTCAACCAAAGCACATTGATCAGACACATAAAATTCCAATCCTAACATCCATTTTTTTCCCAACGGTATTAATTGATCAAATTGAATAATTTGATTAGTTAATAGGTAAAAGTAAAAAAAAAAGTACTATAACAAAATGTCTTTCACTACCACTGCCAACACTAACATATCAACAATGTCAGCACTTAGAAATATCCAAATTCATCGGTATTTCTAAAGTTTATATACGGTGACAATAGATGACTTTCAAATTGTGCTGAAATTGATACGACAGTACAAAAAAAGAAAAAAAAAAAGAAAAGTGAAAAAAAAGCGAAGAGAAAAATGATTTAAAGCAGTAGTAATTGCAGTAACGGTACAATACAACAAATAAAAAAAACCTGAACTGTTTCATTTATTGAACAACTGAAAAAAAAAGTTACACTTAATTAAGATAAAAAAATGGCAAAAAAAAAAAAAAAAACAATATACTATTTCTGTCAGGTTAATCTTCCAATTATACACTGATACATTCAAATATGTATCCAATACGTATTTTTGGGCTGAATGATACCGCTAGTTTAGTATCTGGTCGATTGCCCAACTACAAACGACTGACTGCAAAAAGCTAAATCAACAGCTACCCAATCCGCCGTTTATCGCCACTAAAAACAACGATTACGACGACGACAATGAATATACGCATCAAAAAAGTGTTGTTGATTATCGCCTTATAAAAGTAATCTAATTTTGTCAAGAAGAACAACAGAAGAGTATATAGAAAAAAAAGTAGAAGAAAAAACAATGCTTTTTTTTGTTTTTTTTTCTTCTTCTTTATCTTCTTCTTCTGCTTTTTTCTTCTTTTTCTTCTTCTCCTTTTTCGTTTCCATTTTTTTTTTGTTTTAAAGAAACAATAAAAACAACAAAATGAATGACCAGAGTTTAAAAGGCTTCTTGAAAATGCCATTTAACGTAATGTTTGACATCGGAAACGTTCAACTAACAGACTTCATCATCAACAAAAGTCAGCAACTAAAACAAAGTCAGTTAGCGAACAAAAAAAAAAAAAAAAAAAAAAAAAAAAAAAAA